TTTTTTTTTCTTTTTTAGTAAGTTGAAACTTCTGAAATGAGAGGTAGCAATAAAGTCTTAAAATAGTTGCTAAACCAGACGTATTAAGAATATACTCTTTTGGTTTCATGATTATAAAGGAATTTGGTTGAGCCTGCTTGCCACTATAAAAACTAATCCATCGGTGAAAATATTCTGATAATCTGTAAAATACAAGAGGTCAAGACAGAATTTGACAGCTCAGTGTGAGGGCTGGGATTTGAGCTAGACCTTAGTTTCTGTGTATTAATCCTTCCACTGAGTGGCAAATGAGCAGCAGGCTAAGAAAGGGAGGGACAAGTACTGGCATGTTCATGAAATGGAAAGGGGACTAAACCAATGAGCGCGAGGAGCCTGTATGATGGAACAAGTAACAAACTGGGTTAGATGGGAAAGGTGTGGCTTAGAGGTATGAATTGCAAGCCAGGAGGAAGAGTTTAGACTTTGGGTTCCTGGAACCAAAGATGTGAAAAAAAAAAAACAACACACCAGACTCACTGCTGTCCAGTCAGATCTGACTCATAGAGACCCCTCCTCCTTGGGTTTCCAAAGCTGTATCACTACGGAAGTAGATTGCCCAACCTTCCTTCTAAGGAATGGCTGGTGGGTTTGAACTGCCAGCCTTCTGGTTAGCAGTCAAATGCCTTAGCTGCTATGCCACTAAACCTCCCCCTACCTGAGTCAAATAAAAGCATGAAAATCCTATTAAGGAAGAGCTGAAAGAGCATGGATTGTCAGGAAACCAGCTACATAACTATTGCTGTAACTAGGCATGAGGATAACGTAAGAACCTAGGGTCACGCATGGCAGTGTGAGAGATGGAAGGGATGGAAATAAGGCAACCTGAAAAGATACCTGAGAGCTTTTGTAGCTTTAGGGTCTCAGAAAATCGGTCAATGTGAATCCAAAAGTATCTACAGTATTTTTTTTTCTAATTTCTTATATGTGTTTTAGGAAAGCTACTCAGCATCTCCATTATCCATATCTAGTGAAAGAAGAGAAAGAATCTGGTATAACATGTCATGGGACACTACTCACGTATCAGGTGTGTAGTCAGAGTCTTGCTGTAAAAAAATTACTGCAACACTGCAGTAGGATCTCATCCGAAAGATTTAAGTTATACTGTTACTAGTTTAATGTCAAAACGAAGATAAACTAGGTAGAATATAATGTAGTTACCTAAAACATAATGCAGACAACTGAAATGAAGGCTTTTTGTACAAGCAAGAAAGTAGCAGGCTTTTTGATCAATAGTATAGCATTGTTAATTATTTTTCAATCATTCCTAAGGCCCCACGCAGCATCCCAATCGCAAACGAATGTACATAGAAGATGACGTAAGTAGTTTTGATGAAGTAGAAATGGAAGAGGAAGAAGAAAGAAGACCAAACTTGATTCCCAATAAACTGTCTAAAATCAGAGATCCAGATCACACCTGTAAAAGTAAGTAGCTCTGATGCATGTGTCAAAACACAGTTACTTGCAGGGTTGGCAGACAGTGTTTCTACAAGTGTACTGGTATGTTCTGTAAGGATCCCCAGGTACATAGTAGAGCTGACCAGGGACAAGGTTGTAGGAAATTCTTGGCCAAAGCCACTACCCAGAGGGAGCAAGTGGCCGGACCTATGGGCCTCGGACCATAGTTGCAGGGCACATCAAGCTCAATTGGCATAATATAATTCACAAAAACATTGTTCCACATCCTACTTCGGTGAGTGGCGACTGGGATCTTGAAGGTTTGCAGGCAGCCATCTGGATGCAGCTATGGGTCTCTCCTCGTCCAGAGCAGAGAAGAATGAAGGAAACCAAAGACACATGGAACCAGTCCAAGCAACTGGTGCACCACATGATCCTCAGCCTATACGACTATGTGAGCAGAGGAACTAGATGTGTCTGGCTACCACCGTAAACCACTCAGAAGGGAAGGGGATCTGTATAGGAGATCCTGGATAGAGTGGAAGCAACAATGTGGAACAAAACTCAAAATCATTTTTTTAAAAAAACAAAAAGGACCAGGTTTGCTGGTCGGAGAGCCTGGTGGAACCCCTGATACTATGGTCCCTAGCTGCCCTTCAGGTCTGAAATTGAACCTACTCCTGTGGCTTCCAGCCAAACAAAAGACAGGCATATGAGCTGAACGTTTACATTAGGTAGACACACCCCTTGGAGAGATAAGTCCATGGGAGAATAGAAGGGCTGTGTGTGCACAGGGAGACAGCTCAAGGGGCAGGAGTGCATGGAGGGAAGGACACAGGGAAGAGGTGACTATGGGGAAGCAGTGGGAGGGGAGCTGTTGCATTGTGGGAAATCGCAGTCAGTGTCATGAGACAAAGTACGTGTGAGCTGCTGTACGGAAAGTGAATGTGCTCTGTAAACTGTCACCCAAATCACAATAAAAATAAAAAAAAGTTACTTGGAGGGGTGGCCTTTAGATTGTAAATATGTCCATCCACAAAACAAATTCCCTGTGAAGATGGCTCTGAATACATCCAAGACTGCTGATGCTTTACCACCAAATTCATTTTAAATGAGTGTTCTCGTACTAAAACAGAAAACCAAACCCACGGCAATCGAGTCCATTCCAGCTCAGAGTGACTGTTGTAGTTGGGTCTTTACATTCATAGACAGCTTTGGTTATTGCTTATTACCATTTACTGGAATAGGAATGTACCAGTATTAAACTTCACTAAATTACAAGGTTAATCATAAGTGAAACCAGTTAAAAAACCAATCCCCCAGCTCCATTTAAAAGTTAGGGTTTCTGCCGTAATAGCCAGGCCAAAAGTTTTTTATATATAAATCAGAATAATTTCATTTCTAAATTTAAAAAAGTCTACTTTTCATTTCATAATCCTTAGATTACAATTAGAATGTGAACATAAGAGCAATTTCATTCTTTAACCCCATGACATGTAAGATTTTATTTATAATAATGCATATTTTAATTTTGACTGATTGTCTTTATTCCTTAGTGTCTGAAAGTATATCTAAGTTTTCGGCATATGAGTTTTATATTTCTGAGGAGAACTGGGAAAGCACACATTCCCATGTAGGGATGATAAGTGAGAAAATCAATAAAGAAATTAATAGGAAAATTCAGGTAAGTTTCAATTCTGTCCGTTATGATTTATAGCAGATCACACAGCCTACCATACTTCCTTCGATATGGCCGGCTCACTGGATCTTTGGCACTAAACACACATTCCTGAACCCTGCTTTTCTCATACGCCAGTAAAAAATAAGAATGATTGATCACTGGCTTAAAACAACAACAAACAAAACCTTATCTCCTATGGGTTGTTTCTCTTCCTTTTAAAACTTGAGCATTGTGCATATTTCTTGCTTTACTATTAGAGGTCCCTCATTTGTCCTGTTCTCCTTCCTGTTCTGATTTGGTTAGCTTTTTTTCTTTTTCCCTGAAAATATTTGGTAGTATACTATCTATAAATGGTGAGTGATTAAAGTCAGAGCAGCCCCACCTCCCTGCGTGCTACCCATGCTGTGTCTGTGGGTCCAGTTTCTGAGGCTCCAGTGAGCTGGTGAACGAGATAATGCAGGTACAGAGGTTTCTCAGATGGTTGTGGATGACCCCTCAAGACCTCTCCATCTTTTCCTCTCACGTGCTTGTATTAGGGGAACAAAGAGTTCTTTTAAGCCCTCTGCCTAAGGCATCTGATGGCTAACCAGAAGGCTGGCGGTTCAAACCCACCAGCCACTCCTCAGAAGGAAGGTTGGGCAATCTCCTGCCGTAGTGATACCGCCTTGGAATCCCAACGAAGGGTCACTATGAATCGTAGCTGACTCAACAGCAGTGAGTTTGGTTTGGTTAATGAGGGATATTTTTCTGCAGAGGCTATCAGCCTCATCTCTTGCTTGCCCTTTTCTGCTATAGAGCAGTAACATCTAGAATTATTTCAAGGCCTACATATTTGTTTCTTTGTAATTTTATTTACCCAGTTTGGTGTCAGTTGAGAATCCTGGTTCCTATATTCTGTTGTAGGTTTGTGGCTAGATATATTCATGTTTTTTTGTGAAAAATGGTAAAAAACATTTCCAATGTGACTGTTTGCCCATGTTCCTGCAGAGACTGAAGGGCACTGTCATCTTTGTAAATCCTGGGGAGTGTCCTTACAAAGCCAGTTAATGACATTTCAACCCTCAGTGGAAGCTTTGCTGATGGACCTTAACACAGCTAGTCTTAACCTGGCATATTAGTAAATGCTTCCATTTAAATGAGTTTTGAATTTGTTACTTTTTGAAATTTTTCTTAGTCATCTACATTATATAGAAAAGCCTTTGCTCTTTAATATATTTTTGGTTGGTTATGATTTTGTGTAAAGTGTTTTCTAGATAAAAACGATTCTCTTTCAGACTTACCACAAAAAGATGGACTATTTTACTAAAGAGTCGTGGAAATCCGCTCAGCAGCATATGGACACGATGAGTCATCAAGTTCAAGAGTATAGGTCAGTAATGAGCATCTCTTCTGAAAACCTCTGAATAAGTGAAGAGTTTTTAGAATTTACTGCATTTTTGTTAATAGGAATAAAAAGCTTGACCGATTCCAGTTGAGCATCATACAGGAGATGGAAAACTTGGAGCAAGAGTCACAGGCTTTGAAACATCTGGAGAAGCAATTCGGGGTTCGTGGTTTTAAGAACAACATGACAGGAAATCTTTCTCTCACTTTTCGCTGTTTCAGCTCACCCTAAAACCTTTTTGCTCTTTAGAAGATACAGTTTTATGTTAGATTTTAGTGAGCTGCATGTAAACACACCTAAATCACAGACGTACGTTTATAATGAATACCTTTGAGAATAAGGGAGAAATCCAGAGAGATTCACCTTCCATTTTGTTATCTGAAAGATTGCATGACATCTGGAAACTCTTAGCATGGAGCCAAGTTGTTCATTTAAATTTTGAATAATAGAACTCTACTTATTCTACTGTCAAGTTTTAATATTTAAAGTGTGACAGGTTTTACTTATCTTAAAAACAGGACATCATGGAAAAGATACTTGAGAGGTTCAGTGCCTCTCAGAAAAGTGAGCGGCAGAGGTGAGTACATGTCGGTGGCTGAAATCGGTGCGAGAAGACTTTCAAAAAAACAGTCAGTTGATATTATTGGAATGTTGATCTGTTTGGAAAAGAGTGTATTTGTTGTTGTTGTGATGTGCCGTCGAGTCGGCCCCGACTCATAGTGACCCCTCCTTGGGTTTCCGAGGCAGTATCACTAGGGAAGTAGGATTGCCCAACCTTCCTTCCGAGGAGTGGCTGGGGGGTTTGAACCGCCAGCCTCCTGGTTAGCAGTCAAGTGCCTTAGGCACTATGCTACCATAGCACTATGTAAATTGTAGTATAGCTGTTGCATTGGATTCCTGATGTAGAGACAGCTTTCGTTGTCTTGTTAGGCTCCACCTCCTGAGGACCTCATTTGAGGACAATGACTTCTGCAGCCTTGAGAACGATGAGAAGATTTTTACATCTGAGGTATCAGTTCTATATTTTAAATGCAGTGTGTCTTGATACTGGCTAGTCTAACTCGAACGCTTGGCACTAAACTTCCTCAGTAAAATATATTTACTTCTTTGCAGATACGCTCCATGAGAGAACACATGAAAAGGCTCCAGACCAAGTTTCTTCTGGACATGGTAAAGTAGTGATCTCCTTGGGCTTTTCCAAGGCTGTGACCACACCTGCATGCCTTGCAGAATGACCTTTCCTTTGGGATTGGGGAAAGCCCAGTGTTCTTCAGTTATTTCAGATAGACTAATGGGAGCAGATTGATATCAAAAGGACAGGACAGATGTCATAATGAGCCCTACCAGGGAAAAAAAAGAATCAACTTGCAAATTTAAAGATTAGCAGGAAGAGTGAGGTCTTGCCACTGCCTCTGAGTACCCAGCAGTTCAGTGGGCCTCAGGTTGCCTGCCGCCTCAAGGCCTGGTGTGAAAGGGCAGAGCTACCTTAAGGCCGTAGGACACCTCCCGGTGCACTTGACTGACCTAAATTTGTTGATCAGAATACTTGACGTTCCTAAGGCCTGGTTGACCAGCTACACTCTAGGGGCAGGGTGGGAGGCACTAAAGGCACTGGGACACATGAACCTGCCTTTTGTGTTTACTCAAAGATGGCAGGCATCTAGCTATACCCCAGTGCTGATCACTATATAGGGGAGAGACATACATATATATAAAATAATGCACTTAGGAAACTTTAATACAACCTCTATTTGCTGACATGATTGGGGGATGATCAGGATATTGCAGCTAAGCTACTGGTACACCTTGACTTCAGAAACTACCTAACTTGCTGGGGCCTTGTTAATTTTTTTCTTTTCCCTAGACTATTTTTATTTTACTTTCTTGCTTAAATATGAACTTACTTGATTTGGAGATTTACTATCGGAGGTCTTCTCTCAACTGATGATGTCATATATCAGTGAGAACCGCAGAATTCTGTTGATAGTGAGGATCCAGACCCTGGGGTTTGGGCAGAATGAGTATGAACTGTATCTTTATGAAAGGGGCTCTTTAACATGATTACTACTAATCGCTAGACTTCTATTTTTCGTGATAATTTCATAGAATATAAAATCTAATTGGGACTTTTTGTTTGCTTTCGACCATAGCAAGAAGAGGAGCTTCTTAAAGTCCGCAGAGGGCTGAAGTCATTCATGTCTGATGAGCTAGCTCTTCACCTGTGACATCTGGTTATCAACTCGATTGATCAGTAACTGAGGCAACAGCAGAGCCGCCCGACAGAGAAATGTCTCCATGTCACCAGGGCCAGTGTTCTTTCTAGAACCCACTGCATTCAAAGACATTTCCTTATGGATGAGAAAAAAATACTACAGCACAGCTCCAAGTCCAAACAACTTGTCTACACATAATTCTCCTTTAGTTCAAGAGAAAGGTTAGGGAAACCAGACTGTGGAAGGAATTTGCTTGTTTGAGGCAAATATGACTGTTTTAGCTACAATGACAGAACTAGTTGTTTCTTTTGTAAATTAAGTCTTTTACTCAATAAATGTGTTCTTTAAATTGCTTAATTAAGAATATATTACTGCAAGAAAAAAAATTAGCCACAATTGGAAGTGTGAGGTGAAGGACCTAATTTAAAATGTTTACCTATACAGTAGGTCAGTACTTTGAGCACACCGTTGAAGAATCTGGTACTGGGTTATGGCTTCAGTGTATCAGCTTAAATTAGTTACTACACTGCCAAAGTATTTTAATTCTAGACAGAAGTTTTTAAGTAGGGTGTTGGGACACATGCTTTTTAAGCTCTTATTATTCATTATAGTAATACTTTGCTAGATTAATTAACATGAGCACACAATTGATAGACTTTAATTTTTAAATGTATGTTAAGTTGAAATAAATGTCATTTGGATAAATATTATTATTTTATAAAAGTTTTGTTATTTGGTGAAAATTGGATCTAGTATCCATCTCCAATTAGATACCCAAAGTGCAATAGACTAAGCAGTGTCACTGTCACTTGCTTCTAGTAGTATTTACATATGATAGAGTGCTGAAAGTGGTTTCACAGTGAAGATAGGAAACAAAAAAATACCCTTCCTGTTGCAGTCAGTCAGCAACATCAGCAAAGACTTATGGAGAGGGGTCTATTTCAATGGCTGCAAGATTAACTGCCACTCAGGAATTCCAGCTCCGTACTGGCCTTAGAGCCTTAGAAGGAGGATGTGATGGGATTAGTTCTCAGGCCACTCTTACTGGACCCCCACATCAGACATAACTGCATATTGCCATGCCACACTGTCTCTGTCTTCCAGCCCAGGATCCTACTTCTCCCGATTGTTCCATACCTTCCCGCTATGACCTTGCCATCACCAAGAGCCATAGCCCTCAGAAACTTGGTATTCAACATTCTTAAGACCCATCCTTTCTCTTTCCAGTTTGCTTTCTAGAGTCATCCCAGGCTGCTTCCTCCACCATTTTCCTTCTCTGCCGTGGTGCTTGTCCTTCCTTCCTAAGCCATTCTAGATGCCTCAGTCCGACACAGTGATCCACTGCCCTGTCCCTGCCTGTCAGTCTTACCTACTCATTCATACCTCTCACTCCACGCCCTGTACCTCGCTAGAGAAGCAGCAGTCAGGCTTTAGATCTAGGCCACCCATTTCAAAAGGGCACTCAGCATTGCTCATCGGTCCTTGCTTTGCTTGTTTGATTGGCTTTTCCACATTTCCAAAGTATTACTGCATATCACCACCTCAGTCCTTCACTCACGACCTCTCGGATGATGGCCGCCTTTAATGCTTTTCTCATAATTCTCTTCAGCATCTGTTACTGCACTGATAACCAGGATTTTCTGATTTCTCTCACGTACCAATGGCCTATGTGCTGAATTTCATTTTCTCTGGCTACTCTCCACTGGGTAGTGTAGCTCCTGCTTATTTAAAAACAGTCCTACCTCGACACCAAGATCCACGCCAACTGCTGCCCTCCCTCATGTCATCCTCTACTCATTTTTACAGTAGAATCTTTCTCTACTTACTCTCTCAACATATTCACACCTTGCCTTCTCCTCTTCCCTCAGTCCAGCTCTGTCCCTGCCATGTCACTGACACTACTGTTAGGGAGATCCCCAGGCACTCACTTTACACCTAATGTTTTGCCAAATTAAATCTGTCTTCTTTCTCAGCCTTGCGGCGACATTTCAAACGTAAAACACTTAGTTGGCAAGTACTTGCCACTCCTTGTCTCTTTCTGGGCTTCCGTTTCTCACTGGGGGCTCATCCCTGGGCTCTGCCTCTTCCGCCTCAGGTGGCTTCCTCCAGCCCCGTGCAGTCCCTGTCTCTGCATTGACAACTCCCCTGTGCATACCTCTTGCCTTTGTGCATCAGAGTATTACACACACTGCATCATTGGCTGTTGGAATTAGAATCCAGACTCTCAGAACTCTCTGTCCCTCGAACTTCTTCCTTAACACCAAAGAAAAGCAGAAACCTTGTCCTCCCATCCTCATAAATGCCACTTCAATCTAACAAACTATTCAAACCAAAATCTAAGAGTAATTCCTGATTTCTCTTTTTCTCCAGTCAGTCCATCCCCATGTCCTGTACTGTGCTGCCAAACTGTGGCCCACTTACGCATACTTGCCACCATGGCTTTGACAATGTCAGCAGCATCTATCACGTGGGCAAGAGGAACAAGCCTTTTCAGTGGTTTTCCAACATTCACTCTTGGCTTCCCACAAATTATTACCCACTTCACAGTCAACGTAATCTTGGCAAAAGCAATCACTGTATCATGTCATTCTCAAGCATATGAACTCTGCAGTGACAGCATAACCCTTAAACGATAAGTGGCTCAATGAAGAAATCAGAAGGGAAAATACTGTGAGACAAATGAAAATACAGCATACCAAGGCTTAGGAGATGCGTTGCAACCAGTACTTACACGGAAACACTTAACATTATAAAAGACTCAGATAATTAAAACTGGAAATGAAAGTGGAGACGTTACTACTGACTTTACAGGAATAAAAAGGACTCTAATAGAATACCATAAACAGTTGTACACCAATACAGTAGTCAAGGTTGTTGTCAACTTGGCTGGGTCTGCTGGTTGAGTGGCTGGGCAGCTGGATGTAGTATTCACCACAGTGAGATTGAGAATTAACTCCATGGTGGAATCTACTGGAGTAGCTGAGTGGCGGCTGTGGTCTACTTCCAGTATATAAGAGGCAACTTTGAGGGAAGTCTCCGGCTTTTTGGCACCCTTGAATCCTGCATGTAGCCAAGTCATTGGTCAGCAGCCTGCCGTGGACTTGATTTGGTAACTTTGGGACTGTGCCTTTGTACTTGTCAACCTTGGGCTTGTCAGCCTCAGCAGCCAGCAGCTGTCTGAGTGAACAAAAGCCTCTAGCTCCAGTGGGCTGGGAGCAGGAGGTAGCGCTGAAGCCCAAGGTTGAGGGACTTTCACCCAGCCCTTAGAGCCTGGCACTTTGAACTTGGACTTAAAGCCTCCAAACTGTTAGAGAATAAACTCCTGTTTATTAAAGCCATCCCATTTGTGGTATATTCCTGTCAGAGTGGCACTAGGGAACCAGAATAACCAACAATTAGGTAATCGAGATGAAATGGACAAATTCTCATAAACACACAAAGGACCAGCTGACTCGGGGGAAAAAAAAAAAAATCTGAACTGACCTGTAACAGATTGAATCAATGATCACAACCTTCCAACAGAAAAGCCCAGGGCCAAGTGGCTTCATGGTCAGTTCTGTCAGATGTGGAGAAGTAACCCCAGTCCTTGTCAAATGCTTAAAAACAGTAGAAGAAGAGGGAACATTTCCTAACTTGTTCAATGAGACCAGTATTAGCCTGATACCAAAGCCATAAAAGGACATCACAAGAAAGCTACTGATCAACGCATCTTACGAATATAAATGTAAAAAGCATCTACAAAATACTAGCAAACCAAGTTCAGGAGCATATTAGAAGGATATACACCATGACCAAGTGGGATTGATCCTGGGAACACACAGGTGGTTCAACTTAACCAATGTGCTACACCATATTTCAGAAGGAAGTTTGGGCAATCTACTTCCATAGAGACACCACCTCGGAAACCCAAGGAGGGGTCGCTATGAGTCAGATCTGACTCCATGGCAGTGAGTTTGCTTTTTGTTTTACACGACATTAACCGGATGAGGGAAACAACTACATGCTCATCTCAGTTGATGCAGAAAAAGCATTTGACAAAATTCAGTACTTTTTATGATAAAAAACAAACTAGAAATAGAAGGGGATTTGCTCAACATGATAAAGGACAGAATGAAAAACCCATAGGGGACATCACCCTCAAAGGTGAGAGAATGGAAGTCTCCCTCAAGATAAGGAACAAGACAAGGGTGCTGCCCTCCCCACTGCTGTCCAACACTGCACAAGATGTTCTGGCCAGAGCAATCGGGCAGGAAAAGAAAAAATTTGGATCACCTATTTTCAGATGATATGATTGTATATATAAGAGATCCTAAAGAACACATACACACAAAATACTAGACCAATAAACAGGTTCAGAAAAGCTGCAGGATACAAGATCAACATGCAAAAAGTCTGTTACATTAAAATAATTAAAAAAATAAAAAAAACAGGTGTGCTGGTCTGATAGAGCCTTATGGAACCGAGACTATGGCCCCTAGCTGCCCTTCAGGTCTGGAATTGAACCCACTCTTGTGGCTTCCAGCCAAATGATAGGTATATGAGCTGAACACTTACATCAGGTAGATACACTTCTTGGAGAGATCAATCATGGAAGAATAGAAGCTCAGGAGGCAGGAGTGCATGGGAGGGAAGGACACAGGGAAGAGGTAACTATGGGGAGGAGATGGGAGGGGAGCTGTTGCATTGTGGGAAACTGCAGTCAAGGTCGTGGGACAAAGTATGTGAAGTGCTGTATGAAAGATGAATTTGCTATGAAAACTTTCACCAAAATCATGATAAAAATTTTTTAAAAAGTTTCTATACACAAGCAGCAATCTGAAAAGGAAAATTAGAAAATTCCATTGACAATAGCCTCCAAAGAATAAAACAGGAATAAATTTAACCAAGGCAGTGTAAGGCACACTGACAACTAGCAAAGTTTGCTGAAAGAAGGATGACCTAAGTGAAAGCAGAGACATCCCATGTTCACAGAATGGAAAACTTAATGTTGTTAAGATGGTGGTATTCCCCCA